CATCAGTTTTACATTCAACAAATCATACACCTTGTTTCATTACAATGATTATAATCCCCTCCATGTACCATCAGTTAACAGTATTTCTCTCTATTCACTTCAGCTCTTTTTTCTTTTCAAACACTCAGGCATAGATAATAATTTACACCACCAAAGGTCACATTCTGCAAGTCTGCCTCATGGCCGCTATCTCTTAGTCCCTCTGTTCCCATGAATCTAGAGTCCTCAGTTGCTCCTTTTCTCAATGTCCCCATCTCTGCCTCCATTTCTGATTATCGCTTATTTAAACACTTCTTTAGAACACTAACTCTGGTTCCTTCTTATTTTTGTGTGACACTTCTTGAATTCACTCACACTGATTACATTCTTTCCCATTTGAACCAAAGAGAAAAGACCTTGAAATTAACAGCTATTTATAATGTTTACATTAACGTAAAGTGTTCATATTTTGAAATCACTTAATGTAAGAGATTTAAAATCTTATACAATTAAAGAAAAACCTGTTTTTCTTTCTATATTTTCTGTATTAATTGCATTAATAGCAAGATAGAGGAATGAAAAATATTTGGTTTGGTTTGGTTTTCTTTATGACTTTTCTAGTAGTGTGTTTTTGGATATCTTTCCCACCTTCTAATAATGAGGAAAAAGCATTTAGTACCTATAGTTTTCCATTTCTTCTGTTGCTTGACAGAGCTTTTCATCTGCTTTGCAAAGTTTCCTCTGTTTCTCTAACCGGGAATTTTCCTCTACGGTTAATTTCCTTTAAAAAAAAAAAAAAAAGTTTTGTTTCTCATAATATATGTCGTAAAACCATCACTTACACCTTTTAAATTATATTACAACTGGTGCTCACCGTAAAGCAATTTGTATATGGCCATTAAGCACATCACATGCAAGGGGAAAAAAAACTGTATAAACAAATATTCCTGGTGTGAAATTTAAGATTACAAATCAGTTCTTCTAATATACAATGTTAATTTAAAGAGTTTTCTATAAGAATTAATTACAATACTAAGATGATCAATGGTAAATACTAACAAAACTATTACAACTGTTATAAGCCCTTTTGTATAAAGAAGCATTACTTTTACTAAACAAAAAGTCATCAACTAATAATTCATGTTTCAATAGCTTTGCAACTGGCTGTTAAAAATAGTAGTGAAGCTTATAGGCCAGTTCATAAAAAACAACCCAGTCAATTCAAGTAGTAGTGCTTCTACTTACTACTTCTAATACGAGAGGGCTTCAGAAACATTGTGGAAAAAGGAATGAAAAATAATGGAATTTTCCATGAATTTTTTTGTCCCCTCATAGTTTTAATAATCGTTAACAATGAACTATTGAGCTGTTAATATGTGCCCGAATGGTTATTTATTATGCTAATATTATATGTATTATCTTATTTAATTATCACAATAGTCGTAAGTTAAGTGCCATACAGTCTGTTCCAGCTGTAACAAAATTGCATTGGGTTTCCAGTGATTCAAAACCCACCAGTTTTGACCTTGCAGTTAAAACCACCTTGCAATCCAGCACTTATCCAACAGTTTAATACCAGGACTCTTATAGAAGAGTTTTATTAATATTCCCATTTTATAAAAATGTAAATGAAACAAAGAAACTAAGACTAGATAACTGGACCAAGGCAAAGAGATCAAGTAATGACTCTATTATACTATACTGTCTATGCTGTTTTTCATATGTTGTTGTTGTTAGGTGCTGCTAAGTCAATACCAACTCACAGTGACTTATGTACAAGAGAACGAAACACTGCTGATCCTTTGCCAATCTCACAATCATTGCTGTACTTGAGTCCATTGCTGCTGCCACTAAGCCAATCCATCTCGCTGGGGGTCTTCTTCCTTTTCACTGACCCTCCTATTTATTAAGCATGATATCCTTCTCTAGAGACTGGTCCCTCCTGACAATATGTTCAAATTTGAGATCTGTTTGTTTTTCTGACAGTCCATGGTACTTTTAATATTCTCCTCCAACACCATCACTCAAATGCATCAATTTTTCTATAGTCTTCTTTATTAACTGTCCAACTTTCACATATATATGAGGCTGTTGAAAATACCTTGGTTTGGGTCAAGCACACTTTAGTCCTCAAACTGACATCTTTGCTCACGAACACTTTTAAAAAGTCATATGCAGTAGATTTGCCGAATACAACATGTTTGGATTTTTTGACTACTGCTTCCATGAGTCTTGACAACTTCAATCTTTTCTCCATTTATCTTAACATTATTTACTAGGCCAGTGGTAAGGATTTTTGTTTTCTTTACATTAAGGTGTAACTCATAGCGAAGGCTGTGGTCTTTGATCTGCATCAGTATTTTAAATCCTCTTTCTTTGCTTTCAGTATCATTTGCATATTGCAGGTTGCTAATGAGTCTTTCTCCAATCCGGATGCCATGTTTTTCTTCATATAACCCAATTTCTCTGATTATTTGCTCAGCATACAGACTGAATAAGTATGGTGAAAGATTACAACCCTGGCCCACACCTTTCTTGATTTTAAACCATTCAGTGTTCCCTTGTTCTGGTCAAACAACTGCCTCTTGATCTATGTACAGGTTCCTCATGAGCACAAGTAAGTGTTCCTGAATACTCATTCTCCATAATAATGTCCATAGCTTGTCATGATCCACACAATTGAAAACCCTGTTGTTGTTGTTAAGTGCCATCAAGTCAGTTCCAACACAGCAACCCCGTACACGGTTTCCAAGGAGCAGTTCAAACCAACCTTGCAGTCCAGCACATTAACAGGCAGTGCCACACCAGGATGAGCGTAGTCAATAAAGCACAAGTAAACATCTTTCTGGTATTCTCTGCTTTCAGCTAAGATTAACTTCAAAAATGATATCCCTCATTCCATGTTCCCATATGATTCTGAACTGAACCTCTGGCAGCTCCTTGTCAGTGTACTGCTGCAACTGTTTTTGAATTATCTTTACCAAAATTTTACTTGCATGCAATATTGATGATATTTTCTAATAATTTCTGCATTCCATTGGGCCGTCTGTCTTTGGAATGGGCACAAATATCGACCTCTTTCAAACAGTTGGCTAAGTAGCTATCTTCCAAATTTCTTGGCATAGATGAGTGAATCCTTCTTTTACCGCCACAGTTTGTTGAAAGACTTCAATTTGTATTCCATGAAATCCTGGAGGCTTGTTCTTTGCCAATGCTTCCAATGCACCTTGGACTTCTTCCTTCAGTATCATTGGCTCTTGATCATATGCTACTTCTTGAAATGGTAAAACATCAACCATTTCTTTTTGGTACAGTGACTGTGGTTTTTTCACATAGTCATCATTAGTAATACTTGTTTTTGTTGTTGTTAAGTGTTGTCAAGTGAGTTCTGACTCATAGTGACCATTTACAGGGTTTCTGAAACTATATCTTTGTAGGAGCAGAAAGTATCATCATTCTCCTGAGGAGCAGCTGGTGGACTCAAACTTCCAACCTGTGGTTTGCAGTCCACAGCTTAATGCACAGAGCCACCATGTTTAATACTTAGCCACTCAAAAACTACTTACTGAACTTAAGAGAAAAACATTTTTGAAGTCCTAACTACCAATGTTGAGAGACTTTGAGAGTAATATTACATACTACTGAAGAAATCCTATAGGGCAGTAGCAAATATTTTCCATTTTACAAATTACATTAATTAATGTTAGGAAGGCATCCCCCTGGGTCAATGCCTTCACAGGTGTTACAAGAAAATAAAAATGATCTCTTCAGGAAACATAAAAAAGTGTAATGGACTTAGGGATGGAAAAGAGGTTTGTTTTTATAGATATGGATTAAAGAAGACAAGTAGTTCTTAACATCCTTGCCAAATACCTTTTATCAGGGCTGGCACAGTAATGATAAAAATGACATTGTGAAAGGAAGCCCAGTGATCTGATTAAAAATCACATCTTACTTCACATAGTTACACAACACACCAACCTTCTAAGTCCTTTTCATTACTCTCCAATACTAAATTTGAAAAATGCATGAAAGTTTCAGTTGTGAAAAAAAATCAATCTAGCATCTAGAAAATGAATCTAAATCATTCTGCATGCAGGTAAGAATTTTAATTAAACAATTAATTGGTACTATCCTGGTGTGGTGCTGCTGGTTAATGTACTGCATTGAAAGGTCAGTTTGAAACACAATTTCGGTGGTTCAAGCTAACCAGCCTCTCTGAAACCCTATACAGGGTCACTATGAGTCAGAACTGACTTGATAGCACTTAACAACAACAATCGACTACCTATATGCTGAGCAAATAATTAGAAATGCTAGACTATATGAAGAACACAGTATCATACTTCATTGTTTTTATTCTTTCTTCCTATTCCTCTCTTTAATGTCCTTGCTTTGTATCCTTTCTAGCTCTACTTTCATATTTCCTTCTTTTCTTGTTTCTCTTCCCTCCCCCTCTTTTTCTTCTTCTTTTTTCTGTTGATTTTTATTATTCTCTGGTCTCTTGTTCTTTTCCTCATCCCTTCTCCTAATTGTATGTACTACTTTCTCCTTCTTTTAATTTTTTTTCTTATTTTTCTCTTCAGTGGTTTTTTTGTTTTGTTTTGTTTTACTTGACTACCTCTTCTCTTTTTGGTTACTATTTCTTTTTTCTAGACATTACCTATTTTCCTCTCTTTGTCCTCCTTTACTATTTTCTTTTGTTGCTGTTGTTTGCTTGTTTGTCTTTCTCTTCTGTGTGTATTTTCTCTTCTTGCCTCACCCAACAGGGCAAAACAACTATTCCCATACAGCCCAGCCAAAGCTGTACCTTCTGTGACCCCACCCACTGGGCAAGAGTCAATAAGAGCTGCTAAATACCTGATCAATGATCAAAATAACCAGACATATCCTAAACTAAGCTGCAGGAACAGCAAATGCAGAACAGTATGCACACTTTCAATCTCTAATCACACCCACCAGAAGGTATTGGTGAGTGACTAAGAACACACCAACACACAATCACCAATTAAATACAAAAACAACAATATGACAATGTCTCGGAGACAACAGACAATTTCCGTTTACACGAAGAAGTAAGGCAGAGTGGCTCAAGCAAATAACCATGAGGCAGAATTTTAAAACTTTTTGAGGAAGAAAATGCATTTGAACTACCTGAAGAAGGAGAATGATATTTAGGTATCTTCAAATGATTGACAAAAAGGTTGAGAAAAACAAGAAATGAATACAGGTAAAACTAAAGGAACAAACAAAACAATGTAGATAAAAAGTTGTAGACAATATAAAACCTGCAAAAAGAAATCCAGAAAATTAATACTAACCTATCTACATCTCCTTTCATCAGCCCTGCCCAGACAGATTAGATACTACTCAGTGGAGATTCTACCTTCCTCCACGCCCTCTGGATCTAGATTCCCTCTTGAAAGCTTGTAAGCCAGTCATTTCTTACCTTTGAAGCACCCCACATTTTGAATAGCCAATGTCCAAGTTGCCCATCCCTGTCTATTCTGTGTATGGAAGGGGTGGGAATGATCCTTGCTGTAAAGATTTGTTCCCTATTTTGAGCTACTGCATCCATAGGTGTATAGGTGTAGGTCAAGTTCACCAAATTGTATCAGATGACTCTTTTTTATCCCCTTCTTTCTTCTTCTAGTTGAGCTCTGATCATCCAGTCATTGAAGCCAGGTTAAGTGGGTATTATCTGCAAGTATGGGTGTTCTTATGCATATGCCCTCTCTTCTTATCAGCTGGATGCTTCACTCTCCATTCTAGTCCTCTGTGGCTATGTCACTGACTCTGGGTCCAAGATTCCCCAGGTCTTGCCACACTGCTAGCCAGCCAAGTCTCCATCTGGGTTCACAGGAGTCTATCGAACATTGTAGGGCTTAGCTCTCAGCTTCATTGCTGTTTTTCCCTCATTTCCCCTTATCGATGACAAACATGGTCATCCATCAGAGCGTGTATTCCCACTGAGTCTTAGTCTTAGAAGGGGGTTTGCTCTGAGGGGATTCAACCACTTACCTTGACGTCTCCTGGGCAAGCAACTTCCTTGCTCTTGTACATACTATTTTCTTTTTCTATGCAGATGTTCTTTCTTGTATGTGTATGTTTTAGTTAATGGCACTACAGATTTTAAAGTGTATCAAAATCACACACACACATACACACACACACACAAAAGATCCTGTGCAAAAAACATTATAATTATGGATTTTAACCTACCCCCCTCAAAAAAATTTGATGAAATATAATTTAATCCTATATTGAGATTTCTCATTAATCATAAGTGGAACAAGCAACATAATATTTTTAATACATTTTACTTGCCATTCAATGGAGTTATCAGCACCATTTTCATTACCTGTGAAGTTTCACTTCATTTTCTTCATATAGTTCAGTTATCACTTGAAGTTTGTGATTAAGTTTTTGATTTTCATTTTCTAATTCTGTGTTTTCTGACTGCAAAGATGACTGCTCAGCCTGGAGATCTTTAATATATTCTATAAAAATGTACAAGTCACAATTAATGAAATAAATATTTTCAGTTATTCATTAACATTTCAGAAAGATAAAAATCACTACTAATAAGCTATTATTAAAATAAGGATATACACTCCCCTTGGAAAATAACATAAAAATCTACTAAGGTAGGAACAAACAAGATGGCAGATCGGGTGGAAGTGCAGTGAAGAGCTCCAACAACAACAACACAGAATACCTGACCAAGCAGGCTCAGGGGATGGTCTCAGAACTCTGAACCACATATAAAGGAATATTTAGAAAATTGGAAGGCTTACAGCTGGGGGAATTTGTGGCAGAAGCAAGAAGTACATTGCTTTCTAGTCCAGGATGCTCAGCTGCTTCAGGAGCCGCCATCTTGGGTGAGACCAAGTGAGGGAAGGATCAGAGAGGCCACAGATGCCTGGCAGGACCGCAGAGATAAAGGTGTAGACATCCTTTTCTTTTGGTAGCTGTTCATTAGGCCATTGCTGTCTGCACACCTCCATTCTGGTGACTATAGGGGTGCCTGAGCTAGTGGGCACCCTAGCCCCACCCTTGGAGGGATCTACTACACATGCTCACAGATCTCCTCAAAATTTAAAGAGACAGCTTCCAATTAAAACCAAATGGCCACAGCCGGCCCTGAACTGTTTACAACTAGAAACAAGGCCTGAATGGGGATTATGGAGTGGGAGAAGCAGACAAAAAAAGAAATAAGCCGAAAATTAAATCCTAAATTACGTCAAAATGACCAACAGTGGCATCTTGAAATTTCTCACGAGGAAGAGTGAAAAGGGAAGCCCATTTCCTGATCACACCTACCTAGAAGCAATCAGAAAGCATAAAAAATACCAAAATACATACCCATCTAATATTAAGGCCACAGATAACCCCTGAATATGCCTAAAATACAGAAGCAGATGACCATATCAGCTCATGTCCAGAAACGAGATAAAGTGACTGAGGCAAATGAGCTGGAAGTAGACCTACACTCCATACTGGAAGATGGGCAGACTTTGGAAATGCCAGACAAGGAATTCAGAAAAATGATTATGAAATGTATCAAATCACTATATAATGGAGTTGAGAAAAATAAGGAAGAAGTCAGGAAAGTGCTACAGGAACAATCAAATATGATAGATTCAGCATTGGAAATAATTCAAAATCTACAGAAAGAGGTCCAAATGATTAATAATAGAATAACAGAAATGGACAAGACACTGAAAGGGCAAAGGAGTAGAATTGAAGAGATAGAAGCCAGAACTAGTGAGCTAGAAGGTAAATCTCTCAACACTACTAAGACAGAAGAACAAATACAAAAAAGATATAAAGAAATCTGAAGAAGGACTAAGATTCATGCTGGATAACATGAAGAGGAATAACATAAGAATTATTGGCATTCCAGAACAGGAACAATCACACAAG